AAACCAAAAAAAAAAAAAAAAAACTGTTGTAAAAAAAAAAAAAAAAAAAAAAAAAAAAAAAAAAAAAAAATTAAAATAAGCATTGAAGACATTGTTTATCCTAACTGGGAGGTTAAGGCAGGAGGACCATGAGTTTCAGGTCAGCCTGAGCTATACAGTGAGAGCCTATACTTAAAACAAGTGAACTGCTGGGCGTAGTGGCTCACGCCTTTAATCCCAACACTCCAGAAGCAAGAGGATCTCTGTTAGTTCAAGGCCAGCCTGGTCTACAGAAGTTGAGCTCCAGGACAACCAGGGCTACACAGAGTAACCCTGTGGGGGAAGGGGGATCTATGGAGGGTAGAGAAGGAAGGAAGGAAAAATAAGCATACTATCTACAAGAGTTTCAAAACCACAGCACTAGCCTAAATTCTTCCCTCTCTCCACTATTTTATGCTGGGCTAACCAATAATCATTAATATAAACAGGATCTGCAGAGAACAAGAAGAGAAGCAGAATAAGCAATTTCTTGTTTTGGTTTTTAAGACAGGGTTTCCCCGAGTAGCCCTGGCAATCCAGGCTGGTGTCAAACTCAGAGATCCACCAGCCTATGGCTCCCAAGTACTAGGACTAAAGATGTGTGCCACCACCTCCCAGCTTAGCAATTGTTTACTCACTCCATTAAAAGATGTGCTACAGAACAGCCATGGAAAGATGAAAGTCTAGAAAATCTGTGTGTCCAGAAAGACCAAATTTACTCCAGTCTACAATTTCTTCTAACATAGCTTTACATCTTTAAAAATTAAACTACATAAAAATAACCTGGAGACAAATATTAGACTGTTCCTTCCAATTGTATTTCTAACATTTGTGTAAGCCAAAGAAAATAAGATAATACAATAGTTATTCTTAAAAGTACCGATATAGATTTAATAGTAACCCCCTTAATTTTGTTCTGACAAGATTTCTTAGTAGATACCCTATCTCCCTATTTACAGAATAAACACAGAAGAAAAAAAAAAAAAAAGCTTTAGTATATAGTACATGTGTTTCTCTAATAGCACAGAAAACCTAGCTGCATGAAGCTGAATTGGCTACATTTTAAGCTCTATACAGATGAAATTCACCGAAGAGAATTCCTATCACATATATGCATTTTCAGTTACTATGCTCAACTATTTGTAAATTTCTTAAAAGAATAAAGACAACAAAGTTTTAGGTGTCACAGGGTGATATTACAGGGTAACTGCCAACATGAGTATGTTTATTCTGTGTTTGTCCTTCAGTAAGGAGCCGCCCTTTAAAGTCCACAATCTTTTCCTGTTCTTTCTCTCCAACCACAGTAACCTTTTGTATCCTTCCTTCGATAGCAACATTCTGCCAAAGACTACAGGAAGTACATTAATACACAGAACTTGCCTGCAGCAATTTCAGTTTGAGTACTGCAAATGAATTTACAAACACTTTAGTGGGTAGTTATCTTCAAGCCAGACTTGGTTTTACCCTAAGATTTAGTGCTATTTGATGATCTTTTGGGGCTACTCTATTTTCAGAGATCCATTTGTTATGCTTGTATAAACAGACATTCGATTCATCTGTTCTTTCTGGAGAATTACAAAGTGAACCTCACAAACCACATTTAAAAAGTAAAACATTAATAATCCTGTAGGAAATCTAAACTGCCATGAAACCAGAAAGGGTTCACCACTCAATGCAATGAGAATCAGCAACATTTCTCTTTTCTTTCTTTTTTCTCCTAACATTCCCCTAAAGATGTATTACAAGTATTGCAAATTTTCAAATTACTGTCAAATGATCTGTCTCAAGTTCAAATGACTACACACACACACACACACACACACACACACACACACACACACACACACACACACACAAAGATCCTGCCTCTTCTCCCCCAAAGGACAGAATGTGGCTTTTTAAAATATCTTTTCATTAGAATGATTCTTCTATGTGTTCTCCTAATCTCATAAATGCTCAAATCTTTTTAGTTATTCAATCTTTTGTATAGAGAATTATTACTAGTAATAATTCCCTAAGAGTCATATAAGAATGACCATTCAACCATAATGCCACGCCAGTGGCTTTGAATAGTAAAACTTTAGTATAGTTGAATGGAAGACTACATACATCCATAGAAGAAATGTAAGTGTAAGGACTATGCCCACGCCACTCCTTTTGTGAGCACTGCTACAACCATAGTATTTACAAGAGTATTTGGTAAATATTTTCTCAATGTATGAAAATAGATTTAAAATAAACATAGAATTTTAAAATAGCATATCATTAGGCTGAGAATATAACAAGTAATGCAGCACTTGCCTAGTATGTATTAGGCACCCAGTTCAATCCCCAGTACCAAAACATAAATAAAACAAAACAGAATAATACCAAATAAAACGAAACAGAATTATACCAAAAATAATGAAATGGGCCAGGCGTGGTGACACCTATCTTTAATACCAGAACTTGAGAGGCAGAAACAGCAGGATCTCTAAATTAGAAGCCAGCCTACTCTACAGGCTAGCTAAAATAAACTGGGAGACTCTGTCTTATTCATATATGTTTAACTCATATATTTATGAATTAAATTAAATGTGGGTGAAGGTGAAACCCTTTACTTTCTATGCTAAACTAAAATTTTAAATAATTTTTTAAAAAGAGGTAAAGAAATAAAACAGAAAGTTTATTAAAGCATTTAAATTAAAATTCCTCTTTTTTTCCTTTCTCTCTCCTTTTCTTTCTCCTTCAGTGCTGGAGATCAAACTCAAAGCCTTGTGCATGATGGGCAAGTACTCTGAGCTCCATCACAAGCCTCCATTTCTTTTAGCATATAAAACAATTTTGCTTACTTACTTATTTACTTACTTATCTTTTGTGTGTAAGCAGTAGGTGTGTGTGTGAGTGTGAGTGCCTGTGGAGGTCAGAGGACAGTCTCCACTGTCAGTCCTCAAATTCCACATTGTCCAAGACATTGTCTCTTCTTATTTATGGCCACGTATGTCAGTGTGCTTCTGGGAATTCTCTTTTCCACCTCCCATCCCACTGTAGGAGCACTGAGGAGTATAAATGCATGCTACCTCATCTGGCTTATTTGTAGGTTCTGAGGATCAATTCAGGTCATCACAATTATACAACAAGAAATTTACTGCCTGCACTATCTTCTCAGTCTTCCTACTTAGATGATACACTGTGGTGATACATTGTTTATTATCTAATAAAGCCACTGAAGATCAGAATTCAGAACTAGCCACAGCCATAGAAGCTGGGCAGTGGTGACACACACCTTTAATCCAAGACTCAGGAGACAGAGGCAGATGGATCTTTGTGAGTTCAAGGCCACCCAGAGCTACATGAGAATGAATCAGTCTAAAAGAGAAACAGAGCTCACACCTTTAATCCTAGCACTAGAGAGTTATATAAGATAAGATCAGGGCATTCAGTATTCAGTCTTGGGCAATTAAGTCACATTGAGGACAGGATCCCCCTTCCATCCCTGGTAGAAGTAAGAGCGCTCTGGTGGCTTGGCCACTTTGCTTTCCTGATTTTCAGCTTTGAAACCCAGTATCTGTCTTTGGGTTTTTATTATTCATGCTACAATACACCAACAATAAATAACAGTGAACTTGTGAATTTCCCAAAAAGAACCATTAGATAGTACAATGACAGAGATAATACCACAGGAAAGTCCCACAATAATGGCAAATGCTGAAAATTTCAACTACTTATATATAGGATTTTGGAGAGATGGTTCAGTGGTTAAGAGCACTAGAAGCTGTTACAGAGGATTCAGGTTTGATTCCCATCTCCCACAGGGAGGTTCATAACTGTCTGTAACTCTAGTCAGGGTAGCTGATATTCTCTCTGGCCTCCATGGGAACCAGGCACATATAATACATAGACACACAGAAAAGCAAAACACTGGTACACCCAAAATAAAATAAAAGTAATTTATCTTTACATTCTTATATATATAAAATATCTAAACATATATGCCTTTTAAAATATTTAGCTTAAAAAAATACAACAAATCAAAATAAATACTAAAGTTAAGACAAATTCTACCTGATTTTTCTCTAAGTTTTGCCAAATATTTCAATGTAACAAACTTTCATATTTTCAGAAGAGTAACAAAAAATATGGCATAGCAAAAAAAGTAGAGGAAATAATTTTGGAAATTGTAAGAATCTATTATCATTACTGGAGATTCAACCATGAAAAATGACCCATATCTATGACATTTTCTAACCTACCACAGCTACCAAAACAAATCATAAAATCTTACTAGGCTCAAAATCACCTATGTAGCATTAGCACCACATAATCCTAAATACTAGAGTTCAGATCCCTGGCACCCATGTAAATATGGGTCCAGCATGTGGTCCACCTGAAATCCCAGCACTCTGAGGTAAAGACAGGGGATCCCTGGAGCAAACTGCCTAGCTAGACTAGCTCTGCTAGCCGTAGGTTCAAGTGAGAAACCTTATCTATCATCTTCTCTATTATAAGAGCAATGAAGCCTTACTTTAAGAGTTAAATGGATCAAGGTGGGGGTGGGGGGCGGGTAGCCAGAACTACACAATGAGACCTTGTCTCAAGAAAAAATAAAATACAACAAAGAAAACTGAATTTTGGCAGGGCCTGGTGGCACATGGCTTTAATCCCAGCACTCAAGAGGCAGAGGCAGGCAGATTTCTGTGAGTTTGAAAAATAGTTTAGGGCCAGCCAGGATGACATGGTCAGAGCTAGTCTTTTTAAAAAAGAAACAGCTGGATGGTGGTGGTGCTCGCCTTAATTCCAGCACTGAGGAGGCAGAGGCAGATGGATCTCTGAGTTCGAGGCCAGCCTGGTCTAGAGAGTTCCAGAACAGCCAGGGAAACACAGAGAAACCCTCCACGCCACCGCCAACCCCCCCCCAAAATTAAGGGAACCAAAGGCAGATAGTCACAAGCGGGTAGGCAGCAGAGGTGTACCTAGGACAGGGACTGCAGCCCCACACTCACCTGTGCATACTCTCTTTCAATAGCAGCCTTCTTCTGACTGAAAGTCCTAGAAATACAAACAAAAATTAATCACCAACAGCACAACTTTAAAACCTCCTGTAAATTTATCAACACAGCTTTAAATACTGCCTTGTAAGATAGTGAGGGATGGGAAACAACTGTTCTCCATGAGCCCATGAGAGAGGAAACCACAGCAGCACAGTCTCTGCCGTTTTTCACAGGAGTTACATTAACAAGTACAAGGCCTCTGGAAGCTATGGTGTAAGAATATACTTTCTATACATGCATTATTTCAGATTCTATGGTTCATACACTCACATTTTAACATTTATGGCTGGGCACAATGGTGTTTGCCTATAGTCCCAACTACTCCTTTCTCTACTTCCCAAGTGTTGGAATTCCATGCATCACTACACCCAGTATTTTTACATGTGTTCTGAAGATAGAATCCAGGTTTTTATGCTTATGAGTGCTCTACTGAGCCATTCTCCCAACCCCATTTAGGATTCATCCAAGTAGCAAGTATCAATACTTCATTTCTCTTCACTGCTGAATAATATTCCACTATATGATTACATCACATTTTGTTTATCCCTTGATCTAGCGATGGACATGAGTCATTTTCACATCTTAGCTATTAAAAATGATGCTGCCATAAGCACCCAAGTTTCTATCTGCACACATACACATTATACACACATAAATAGTGCATGCTATATCACAGTGTGGAGGTCAGAGTACAACTTTGTTGCATTGGTTCCCTTCTTCCACCTTTATATAGATTCTGATGATTGGATTCAGGTCATCAGGATTTACCTGCTGAGTCATCTTGTTGACCTGAGATACTTACTTTAAATTATCTTGTGTATGTATAAATAGAACAGATAAATCATATGATAATTCATTTTAATTTTTGAGGAACTATCAAAATGATCTCAATAACAAGTATAATATTTTGTATTCACAGTATATTTTTAATTTAATAGTTAAATACAAGAAACTAACCCTTCAAAATAAGCCAGGTATGGTAGAACATACCTATAATCCCAGCATCCTGGGAGGGTGAAAAAGGAAGATCACAAGTTTGAGGCCAGCCTGACCATCTTGGCAAGACCTTGTCTCAAAACAAAACAAAACAGACAAGGGATATAGTACAGTAGTAGAGTGCTTGCCTAGAATGTGTATGTATGTGTGTGCACCCAGAGACAAGAGGCATTGACTCCCATGAGTTGGAGTTACAGGAGGCTGTGAGCTGCCTGTTATGGGTGCTGGGAATTGAACTGCGATTGATCCTCTAAAACCTTAGCACTTGAGAAAATATGATCAGAGTAAAGGTTGCTGACTGGAAATTTCTTTAAAAATCAAAAAATTAGCCAGGCAAGGTGGTGTACACCTTTATTCACAGCACTCAGAAGGCAGAGGCAGGTGGATCTCTATGAGCTCAAGGCTAGCCTGGTCTACAGAGTAAGTTCTAGGACAGCCAGGGCTGATACAAAAACTGTCTCAAAAAACCAAAACCAAAAAATTAATTTATTACATCAATGATATCTCTAGTCATTAGAAAAAAAAATAAGGCCCAGAATAATGAATCCTTCACAGAAGGTATCCATTTTATTTTGTTCAAATTCATTAGAGGAATAACTATAGCATATATGGCCTTACAAAATGCATTTCTTAAATCAAAAGTCCTGAAAATAAAAATTACTCCCTAATGCATAAATTGAAAACTAAATACTACATTAGCATTATGAAAAAAATAAAATCTTGTTTACAACCCTCAGAGCTCTTGGATGACCAGGAATATTGTGAACAAAGTAATCCTATCTACTTGCTTATCCATCCATCCATATGCATGTGCATTTGGATAGAGATACATGTTTTTTTAGTTTTTTGTTTGTTTTTTAGACAAAATCTTGTGAAGTAGCCTAGACTGGCCTCAAACTCACTCTCTCCTCCTGCCTTTACCTGCCAGGTGCTATAAATACAGATGTCCACCAGAATACCTGGGTCTAATCAGTAACATTGTCTAAGAAATCCTTTTTTCTGAACAATAAATCTCAACAGTAAATCTGAAATGCTCAAATGCTTTTTGTTGCCCCATTTAGAGCTCTCAACAAAAAGCAGAACAGATATAATTCTTAAAGGCCCCAGGACTTTTAGAATGGTAAGTGATTATTCATTTCAACTTAAAGTCACCATCTGCAATGGCCCACAAACAAGTCAGCCTGACCTCTTGAGCTATGGAAGAACTAGATTTAGACTTCCTCCAATATAAAGCTTTTTGTTTGCCTCAAAATCTGTCATTCAGTGTGGCTACCTTTTTCAATGGTCTTAGCTCTACTTTCTGAGTAACACATTGTAGCTTCTCCATGAACATTTGGTCCTCCTAGGATGTTCTTTTGCTACATAAAGATGGCTTTCTTTCTTATTGTTCATGAGCTAACTAGGTGGCTTCAAATTTTCCTTCTGTAGCTTTTCACCTCTCCCAGTCAGTGTTCATAGACTTGAAGGGAGTAGGGTGTGCTCTAGATAAGGCTTTGGATAAAGGCAATTCAGAGGTTGATTTGATCTATGCAAACAACAGAAACTTTCTCCACAGTAGCAAAAAGGCTTGTGTGTCTTCCCTTCCTCCTATCATGTGTGTCCCCTGGAGTAGCAATTTTAAATTTCCTTTACCAACTTTTCCCATGTATCACACTTGACTAACTGTTGGCACAAAGGCCTATCTTTCAAGATGCCTTCACTACTAATCTTAATCATTTCTAGCATTTGCCCTCAAGTGAAACACATGCAACCATCCCGTTCAACTGGCTGATTTCAACAGGGTGGCCAAGAATGAAAAAGTCTGGCATTACCTGATCAGTAGAGCAGCTGAACAGCCCACATACATACAACAGTTATTAAATTGTCCATCTGGGCTGGGCAGTGGTGGTACACACCTTTAATCCCAGCACTCAGGAGGCAGGGGCAGGCAGATCTCAGTGAGTTTGTGGCCAGCCTGGTCTACAAAGTGAGTTTCAGGACAACCAAGGCTACACTGAGAAATCCTGTCTCGAAAAGCAAAACACAAAAATTCTCCATCTGATGTGGGTACAGCTTATGGTACCTCAAAACAAATATAATAATAACATGAAGGGTCAATGACTACAGAGCAATATATAAATAATAATGGAAAAGTTGTCAATATTTCAAGAATTATCAAAATGTGACTTTGAGTCAGGTAGTGTTGGCACATGCCTTTAGTCCTAGCACTCAGGAGGATCAGGCAGGTGGATCTCTGTGAGTTCCAGGACAGCCAGGGATGTTAAACAGGGAAACCCTGTCTCAAAAAAACAAACAAACAAAAAAGTGAAACACAAAGTAACAAGCCTCTGGAAAAAATGGTTCCAAGTAATCTATTCAAAACAAGTTATCACAAACCTTTCATTAAATTTAATTTACTATTTTATTTTACTTTAGTGTAGTATCTCATTTTATTTTGTGGGATGGATTCTCACTACATTGCCAAGATGGTGTTAAACTCATAGGTTCAGACTTTCCCAAAGTAGATGGACTATAGACATGCACTACCACATCCAAACTCATAGTTTTCAATTTTTAAAAACCAAAACAACAACAACAAAAACAAAAACAAGCCACAGTACTCTGAAGCACAATAAAATAAGGTATGACAGCAAAAGATTGAAACACGAACCCTGCTTTGAAGGGATTCACTAACAGAACCCCACAAATTACATGAGGAACTTCTTTTGTTTCTTAAGCATTAGATCCCCTTAATTTTCCTAACTGTACTCCAGTTCCTTACCAATAAAATGAGAAGACAATAAAGCCAGAGTCTGTATGTCTACAATTGTGTCTACAATCCCATTACTGAAGAAGCTACAAAAGTATCAAGAGTTTAACAACAACCTGAGCTACAAAGTGATTTCCAGGTCAGTCTAGGTTATATAAAGACTCCACGGTGTGATTACTCATTAGAATTATAAAATTAATTAGTACATGTTTTTAAAATACTTGGAAAAAACAGCACGTGATAAATACTACAAATTTATTTATTAAATAAGTAAAAATATCCTATTCTACATTTACATTATGAGGTTTACATAGTTTCAACATTTTGACTAGCTGAATATAGAAAATGCTAACAAAAATGTGCATTTGAAAGTACTATAGTTTTAAATGACAGGAAAAAAAGCCCGAATACTCCCCTTCTCAAAAACCACACAAAAGCAATAGCAAATTTTAAAAAAATCATACATGTAAACCAGACATGTGGTTTAATACCTATCATCCCAGCTCTTAGGTGGCTTAGGCAGAAGCACTTTGACAAGTTTAAGGCCAACCTGGGCTTCATGGTAAGATTCTGTCTTTAAAAAGAAAAGATATTATTATGATATACAACAAAACCATAACGATATACAACATATAAGCAGAAAATGTATCAAACGGAAAGACCTGGATAACAAAGGAAAAGGGAACACATAAGGTTTCAAGTCTCAAAGGAAGGGGCTACATTTCTTCACAGCAATTCTTGAGTCATAAAACTTAAAACCAGCATTTGCAACAAGAAAAACTGGGATTATGGGGCTGGCTAAATTTCCTTCATATTTTGAAGAAGTAGAGACAGAACTGAATTAGAAATAATACAAACAAGCCATGCTGGCAACAAGTTGATTACTGGTGTATTGCAAGCAGCCTTGCCTCTCAAACTGGCTAAGGAGAAGCAGTGTGCATGCATGCGTCCTCAACTCAGCCTCCCAAGAGCTGAGATTACAGATATTCACTCATGCCCACTGAAATAAATTTTTTCAAACTCATACATGCTACCCTGCTCATAAAAGAAATTATTATAAAATTAGACAACAGTAGCTACTGTGTGCTACCAATATGTGATATTCCAATAAATGCTATGAGAGAAAAACCACCATATTCAAAAAACAACCAAAACAGGAGGAACATAAATAGAACATTTTAAATAAAAGGGGGGGGGACATGCTCACTGCCTTGGTATGGTGGTGCACACCTGTAATCCCAATACTGATTACT